TTAAATGCATGCTTTTGTTGCTTTTGATTTAATGAGTTTTCCTGCTCCCCCCAAACACAACTTTGTCTGTGGTTGTGTATACTATAATTATGCAGGTTCTTCCAGGAAATGTAACCACCAGTACCTATCACTAATCAAAATATTACAGTAGGTGGCAATTATCCCCAGTGAAGCTGTGAAAATGGAGAAAGGACATTAAATGTAGAGGACGTTTCTAACCACTTTGCAATGGTACATGATATATCACCATTTTTTCTTCTACTTCTCCTACTCTTGTGTGCAAGTGGAAACACAGCTGTGAAAATTTCCCCAAAGATGGAGTCTTTGGTATTGCAGTCATTTGTTATAGATTACCTTATTGATTTCTCCCGCTAACTTATTAGTAGCAGAAACAAAACGTACCACTTCACAACCCAGCTATTTTGCAGCTCCCATTGTGAAGCCCCGTTGTGTTATCTGCATTGGTGCCTTAGGACTGCAGCTTAATTGATTCTCCAGTAATACATTTCACACAATCCATGTCATTAGAGAGGAATCCTTTTGGCTGTGTGTGTGTTAATACTGCAGAGGTTTAGGGGCTGAGGTACAAAGCCTTTTTCATGTCAGGGCTCAAGTTCCATTTTGAGCTCAAGTTCCATTTTGAAGACACTCTGGGGAGCTAGATTCCACCTGTGGGCAGGGTCAAGTGCAAAACAGGGTGAGGGGGGCAAAGGCAAAGGGGATGGACCCAAATACCGATAATACCAGCTTGTTTTTCCTTAAAAACCTTAGTGCCATTAACTGAGCTATAGGAGAGGCATTTAAAATTTAGAGTGAGAAAGGCCTCGTTCAAAAGCTAGCAAACCAAAGCCTCTGCACTTGTTGGAAAAGGGCTGGAGGAAGGAGGCTGGAAGGGGCAAATATCAGAGGGACTCAGTAGAAACCCAGGTGGGTAGACTTAGTCCTGCATCCCAGTCTTACTTGGCTTGCCTTTGCCCTATCCTGTTGCCCTTGCAACAGCGAAACTTGGAAAAGGTGCCACCTGCTAAAATAGGAGGGGCTTTTTTTTAGCCTGAGAGGGAGGTGGTTTATTTACTGTCTGTGCATCCTAGCTGAGGAAGCAAGCATTAATTCTCCTCCTCCTTGGCTCCCCTAAAATTGTACATACTTGGAAAAAACCTCCTTATGGAGTCAAGGAGAGGCTCCCCCCAAGTATAATTGTAAGGGGGGGAACCCTTTGTGTGTATTACGAACAAGAGTGGATGCAAAATTGCCCGTGGGGATGCTGCGAGAGTGTGGATGGATGCCTACAGCCTGTGTGTGCAGATGGCTTTGGTTCCACTCGCACTGGCCTTGGTGTCCCACCCAGCCCTGGTGTGTGGCCTGTGAAAGGTTGCTCATGAGGGATGCAGCTTTAAAAATCTCCCCCTGCTCTTGTTTTAAAGGAAGTCTTGGCTAGGAGAGAGAGAAGGGGATGGGCATTTTTGAAAAGAGGAGGCAGGGGGCTACAAGGCCTAACACAGCCTCCCCCAGGCTAGTGCCTTCCAGATGTTCTGGCCCACAACTTCCTCCATGCTGGACCACTGGCTGTGCTGTCTGAGCCTGATGCAGCTTGTGGCCCAAAATATCTGGAAGGCTGGGTTCAAAATTCTGGCAAGAATTGCTTGTTTTTAGGTTTCTTGGTTGAAGAACCACTCTGGTTCCTACATTGCCCGATTGCTGAAGCTCTCTGGGTAACTTTCGACAGTTTACAAACAGGACCATGATACAATTCAAACAACCATCTTTTTTCATAATACAAAATTTTAAAATAGCTTTAATTCCTAAGCTATTTAGAAGCAAGAGTATTTAATATAGACTTTACCCCCCCCCACACACACACATAGGTACCCCCATCCAGCCATTAGATCACCCTAAATATTTTTAAATGCCTCTGCACAGAGAGCTATCTGAACCTGCAGCTGAAAACATGACGAAGTTGGGCCAGGCCAGCCTCAGTGTGGAGATCTTTCCACAACTGGGAGGTGGGGGCGCCACTGAGAAGTTGCTTTTTCTTTTTGCCACCATCTGGAACTCCTGCAGAGGTGGTACTTGGAGGAAGTCCCTGGATGTTGTTATTAATATCAGCCTGTCAAGATGCTTTTAAAGACAGAAGAAGGGGGCTGATAAAGACAGTACTAGTTTTTGTACTGTACTCTGTTATCTCTTTTTATCTCTTGTACCAACTTCAGGATTGTAAACTCTTCGGGACAAGGAATATGCCTTTTTATTTGTAAAGTGACGGGGACGTTGATAGTGCTATGTAAATACATTCAAATACAGCAAAGGAAGCTTAGTTAGAACTCACTAAATCTTAAACCTTTGAGAAGCTATGCCTAGGCAACACACGGGTCTGTATCCCACAGCTAACAGACACCGTGCAGTCTGTGTGTGTGTGTGTGTGTGTGTGTGTCCACAAATATAGTATAACTGACCATGAGGACAGCTAGAAAAGAAGAGTTATTCAGCTAGGTATGTCTCTGAACTGCCTTGCATTTCCTTTATGGCCTCAGTCCCCAGCCTTTCCGGCACCAGGGACCAGTTTTGTGGAAGATAATTTTTCCTGGACCCGCAGGGGGATGGTTTTGGGATTATTCCAGCGCATTACATTTATTGTGCATTTTATTTCTATTATTATTGCATTGTAATATATAATGAAATAACTATACAACTCACCATAATGTAGAAGCAGTGGGGGCCCTGAACTGCCACCAGATGCAGCTTAATTGTCACTTGCCCGTCACTGATAGGGTTTGGATGAGTCCGCAAGCAACTGATTGATTATGGTTTCTGTGCAGACAAACCTCTCTGCTAATGATAATCTATATTTGCAGCCGCTCCCCAGCAGTAGCATCACTGCCTCAGCTCCACCTCAGATCATCAGGCATCAGATTCTCATAAGGCGCACACAGCCTAGGTCCTTCGCATGCGCAGCTTACAGTCGCGCTCCTGTGAGAATCTGTCTGATGCTCTGAGGTGGCGCGTGGGCAGTGATGCCCAGTGATGCCAGTGCTGGGGAGCAGCTGCAAATGCAAATGAAGTTCCGCTCACTCTCCCGCCACTCCTTTCCTGCTGTGCGGCCCAGTTACTGACAGGGTACCCCTGTTTTAGAGCACACCCACAAAATACTATTTTCTTATGCACCTGTTCTAAACTGTTTTGGATGTTCATGAATATGGGTAAGAAGGTATTGTTTTGTTTTTCATTGTGTTTTATTTGGAACTGGAAAAGTGGTGCACAAATATTATGGAATTTACTTCTGAGCAAACAGGCTATAAATGTACAATCAATCATACATATGCTTTCATGTGATTAAGTCCCGCTGAAATCAGAGGATATAAATGTGTTTAGGATTATTATATAAAATTACCAGTGAACTACAACAATGGTGTTCAAAAGCCAGACCCTGGCATGTTTACATAGCAATGCAGTCCTGAGGAGCTCAGCAGGAGCTGGGAGAGGTAGGCAATTTACTTCAACTTTCGACAACTTGCATTATTCTAGATGTTTTGGACTGCCAACTCTCAACAACCCTGCGGGTCAGGACTAGGATTTTCATCCTTCCAGAACTGACCCTTGGGCTGGAGTCTCCAGCAGATGATTAAAACCAATACTGGAGTATGGACTTTGTAGTCCAAACCGTCTGAAGGGAACACCAGGTGGTGGGGAGGAGAGGAAGAAGGGCTTTTACTCCAAAGTCAGTGCTGTAGCTGAAGCATTCAGAGATCTTGAATTAAAGATTCTTCAATGGCATGATGGCGGCACCCAAGTCGGCTTTTTAGCAGGGTCAGTCTGCATTTTAAGAAAAGCTTTACTGTTGCTTTTTTCTGACTGCTTTTAGATGTTATATTGCGGGGTGGTCATGACTTTTTCTGGTGCTCTGGTCCTATTGGACGAAGCAGGGCAAACCGGTCCAGAGAACTCCGGCCACGGGGCAGTAGAGAAAGCAAGCAAGCAAGCAAACAGGTAAGTCCGGAAGATCGCGGCCGCCGCCCGCCTTTCCTCCTCCACCTCGTCCAGGCCCTGCGTAAAAACCGCTGCAAATTCAGCTCGCACCGGACCACCCTCGGCGGCGGCGGCGGCGCCTCGTCCTCGCCCTCCCTTCTGCCCATGCGCCGGCCAGGCCGGGCGAGCGAGCGAGCGAAGCGCCGCAGCCAGTTTGAAGTTCGCTCCTCCGCCGCCTGCCGGGCGCGCCGCGCCGGATTGGCTGCGCGGCGGCATTTGCATTGACGCCACGAAGGGCTGGAGGTCAGCGCCGGCGGGGGCTTTTATTGGTTGCGCCGCCGCCTTCGCCGCTCCTGCGCCTGCTGGGGCTGTCAAACTCCGGGGCAGATCGCTCGGCCGCCCGCCCGACCGCCCGCCCTGCCCGACCCCCGGACCGCTCCGCTTCGCCTCGCCTCGCCTCGCCTCGCCTCTGGCCGCGGGAGGGGGCCGGGGAGGAGGCGCCTGTGCCAGCCGGGCAGCCTCGCTGGCGGGCTGGCTCGCTCCTGGCCGCCGGGGAAGGGAGGAAGGCGAGGCGAGCCGGGGAGAGGGCGAGAGCTGGCGGCGGGGCTGCGGAACCGCGGCTGCCAAGATTGCGCCCGGAGCGACGCGGGGGAAGAAGAAGAAGAGAAAGAGGAGGAAAAAAGGCGACTCCGCCGCGGAAGAAGGCGAGCAGCACCGAGTCGGCGATCGCCGCCCAGCGCCTGGGATTTAGTCTTTCTTTTCTTTTGCGAGGAAACCCCTCTCTCGCCATTTTAATTCATCCCACGCAGGTCGGACCCCCCCGCCCGCTTTGCTCCGCCGGCACCCCTTCCTGGGATTAAATTTGGCCTCGCTGCGGTGCGAAGACACCAGCGCCATCCTCCTCGAAGCAGTTTAAAAAATAGTATAGAGGCGGCGGCACCCACCGACAGGAAGATCTCGAGCTTTTCCTCTGGATCCTTTTAAACTTCTCTCGGTTGGTTGCGATCTCTGCGGCTCTTCCGGAGGTGGAGGGTGGGGGGGGGGGAGGCGAGAAAATAAGCGATCTTTTCTCCTCTACTCGCTCTTTTTGGCCTCCGCGGCGCATCTCAGATGCGCCTGCGACCTTCTTGATCCTCTTTGACTCCATGCTGGCGTTTTGGGTGATGCGCTCCGTTTGAAAGCTCTGCTTTTTTTCTCTCCTCTCCCTCTTCCTCCTCCTCCTCTCTTCTTGGTGACTGGATGAGGGAAGGCCTTTTGCTGGAGAAAGGATCTTCTTTTTTCTCAGACCTCCCAGAACGGAGAAGGTGGAAGGGAAGAAGCCCTCTGGAAGATTCTGAGTTAAAAAGTAACGTGTGAATGCCCGCAACCTGCAGGCTTGCAACTGCAGCTGTTGGGAAGGAGGTGCTGGAAGAGGAGAAGGCGTTGTCGGCTTGCCAAGAATATGAATTGGACGGGCGCTTGATGAGGCTCGCGCCGTAACACCGGTGGGGGGGGCCTTGTCCCCCTCCCAGCCTGCCCAGGAAACGTAGTTTGGATTTGCTACAGTGGAAGGAGCCTTCTATACACGTGGGAGGACTTGGAGGGGGGAGGAGGTTTGGTCTGTAGAAGGCTTGGGGTGCACAGGCCAAGGACACCCGCTTGGTCCTTCTTCTTAATTTATAATAATAGCAAAGGCATCTGGAAAGGACAATTCCTCTCCCAGCCCCCAAGTTTGGAATTGGATTTGAAAAACTATGTACCCTCAAAAAAAGTTCATGGCTCTGAGCTTTGCGTAGTTCAAGCAGATTTGGCAGGAGGGCCAGGTTTATCCCTGCTGCTCACCTTCCAGGTGGCATTTGTGTAAGTGTGTGATTCTCACAAGTATGGAATTGTTTTAACTCTTCATCCTCAGTTAGCTTCCCCTTTGGTCCACCTCGCCGCATCTGGAGCTCTTTAACCCACCCTGTCAAGTGAGAAAACTTGCCGGGGTGGGGGTTGAAAGGAGAAGAGAGAAGAAGGGCACCCACTCCACCTGCAGGCCGATCATGCTTCTTTGGATTTGGGGGTTATCCCTAAGGAACAGCTGACAATATGGACTGGGGCAATCCAGAAGCAGATACAATCAATTAGCAAAGAGACATCAACGAGCCCAAGTGGACAGAGGCGCAGCAAGCACTACCTTGAGCACTAGTAGCTTTAAAAGCAACCATGGGCTGTGCTCCTAGCATTCACATATCTGACAGCAGGGTGGTTTATCACAGTAACAAAGAGCTGGAGGACTCGAACTCGTCACAGCAACAGCAAGGCAACCCTGTCCCCAGATTATTCATTAAATCTTCCAACACTTCCACATACAAACTGAGGACTAATCCCTGTAAGAAAGGTGCACAGGACAACATGGAGGGAGAGTCTCGAACCAACAGATCCAGTGTTAAGGTAAAGGGGAAAAAAAACATGAGTTATTTGGGATGTTGGAGGTTGGTTGGCTGGTGGGAGAGCAGACGGGTGGTGGAATTGTATCAGTGTGAGGGTTCCTTTTTTGCTTATTGACATACCAAACAAGACACTGGCCCTTGTAAGTTGATTTTGGACTGTCTGGTTAGTGACCTGTTAATCTGGAACCAGCGACTTTCATGGGAGAGTTATTTTTGACCTCTTTATTTGCAAACAGGATCGGGTTTTGTAGACTTCTTTCCCCCTTTTCCTCCCTCTCTCACTTTTGTAGACCCAGAATTAGGCGAGGAAGTGTATGTGTTGATTCATATTGCTTGGACCTCTTTGGTCTGTTCATATCTTAGCCTTGCTAGAATATTAAGGGATCCTGACTTTCCTAAGTGCCCAGTGACAGAGCTAAGTAACTACGTGGTATTTCCCCCTGCCTCCTTTCTGGGTTGCTGAATTTCTGAGTGTAGAGACAAAAGTTTCTACAGAAACCTCTTCTAATCAGAAACAGAATGAACAAAAATGTTGACTGAGGCTTTGATTTTTGTGTTCACCCACAGAGATTTTGGCCTTCTCAACTTTGCAAGGATCTGTGCATGTTCATATATACTTTGAGAATAAGGCCAGAAGGAAGATATTTGTGGATTAAAACTAGATTTGCTATAATGGGGTGGGGATTCTAGAGATACAGCTTTGGCAATTTCTAGTGTGTGGCTCTGATCGAGAAAAATCTAGTTGGGTTGCAATCGATTGGTGTGCAGCTCTTGTTCCAGGTAATGGACTGTGTATAATTTCCAGGCAAATGTGTTCAGGATGAGGGGAAGCAAAACCAGGAAGGTCATCCCACAAGAACCAGAAGGTGAACTGCTAGGGTTATTGACGCAGTTGAGAAAGCAATTTTTAAAAGGGTCAATGTGTACATGGTGATTCTGGTCTCATATGAGAAACAACAATCCAGTTAAACTGGAGCGCTGGAGACATAAAATGGAGTTTACTACAACCTGAAGTATTGATTTCAGTACAATTTCATGACTTGTAGTTCCTTTTTTACTTTATTTATAGTTCATCTCTTAAGTAAGAAATTTAGGGTTGTATAGTGGGGCGGCGGTGGCGGTGGCGGTGGCGGCTCTGTGCCTGTTTCATCTCGTATGATTCACTCTGCAGAATTTGAACTCCTTGGTCCAAATTTGGTATTTTGTATGTTGCACTAACCTGTCTTGCAATGTGTGGTCGATAGTGTACACATTAGCTCACTTTCAACTTCCTCAGTACAACTTGAATGGCATTTTAATTGCCTATTTGTCCTAACGCTGTACGTTTCTTTCCCTCCATCTTCTTTGAGTTCCAACTTCAGGGTATTCTGCAGAAAGGCATCACTGCAATGAAATCATCGAGTTAGGGAATGTACAGGAATGATGCACTTCCTAGACCTACTTTCAAGGAAGTAAGGGAGAAAGTGAGCTTAGGCTCTGAGACCCCAGTGTGGTACTTGCGTTGCCATTGCACCATCTTCAGTTGTGAAGCAGGAGTCGGGAGGAAGGGATAAAACACTCTTTTCCAGCATTGCACTTCCCATTAGAATTGTATTGCTACTACTTAATTTGCAGTATAACAACTTTCCCCCAAGAACAGCTATTGGGAAATTGAATGGAGGATGACCTGTATCACTTATAGTTTGGGCCTAACCACTCTTCTGTGGTTTCAGTTAAATCAGCGTGGGTTTGTTGTGAGTTGCAAGTAAGGCTGTGACAATCTGTCTATGGATAAACACAGTTGGGCCTGATTTTGAGAAAATGTGTAGGTTTGGGCTACACACCTGTTTTGGACTCAGACGCTAAGTCAGTCAGCCACAAGTTGGCTCCAGATATGCTGTTCTATAACCAGTGTGGGCATGAAAGACTCCATAATTTATGTTGCTTACTCTACTCCTTATTTTATAAAGAAGGGAATAAAGCAGTTCTTAGGCCAGCGAGATTTTTAACGATTTGTGTGGTGTCTTTTCATGTGTTTACATTTCTAAGATGTTGCTTAAGTAATTAGAACTAGGGATTCTTGGCAGACATGACTGGATTGTGGGTAGGTGCCTTTAGAAAATAATTTGCTCCAAAATTCTAGGACCGTATTCAATACACTTTCAAATAGATATGAAGACAGAATAAAACACAGGTGATTTTGTTGAAGGGAGCAGTGAATGACATTAAAGACTTGCAGTTAAATGAGAGATAAGTTGGTATACTATAAATACAATAGAGAACAATTTTATTTGATTTATATGAAAACTTACGTGAAAGAGAAGCAATTTGGATATGCTAAAATGCTGAAATGTGTTTTTGGTTTGTTTCAGGCTTGGGGGTTTGTGTATTGAAACACAAAGTTTTAAAGATAAATGTTATTAATAATCAGACTAAAATCTCTGACATCTTTAAATGCAGCACATCAAATTCCTGCACTCATTTAGAAATCCTGCAGTGAGATTAACTGGAAATGCCAGTTAATTTCAATCTGGTTCCAAGTATTGTACCATTCCTTCTTGGATTTAAGGCATCTGGATTAGGAAGGCCACTTATTCATTGCCGAAGGCACATTAATGAACCTCCTAACAAGAGGACACAGATTTGAATAAATTTTGCAAATGCTGATTGGTAACTATAGAATGTATACTTAGAAATGATGACTATGATTTAAATGGACAATAATACATCTCATCCTCTCAACTGTGTTTGCACCGTCTGCTCTTCAGGTAACTTTTGCTTCCTTTTTTGTATGATTCCTTATCTTTAAACAAGGCTTGAACTGGGCAGCCCTTCAGATCCTGGAAAGTCCTCCCAAGGCTCTTCAGCCCGGAGGCTGTCCCAGGAAACTCAAGACATGCGTCTCCTCTAGTCTGAACGGATTGCTGGTAACTTCGGTAACTTCCAGCTTGTTCATTACCCTGTTAGCTAGCCGTTTCTTTCCAAACGTTAGGATAATAACAGACTCTGTTCACTTAAGGAAAGATTGGCTAAGAGATGCAGGGTTAGCTTGACGAAATTTCATCTGCATGGGACCGAAACAGTGGCCCAAGAAAGAGGGGACAAAGTACTTTTGGGTGCTGCCATCACACACAACAGAAGGAGCCATCTTAGGCCAAGCTTCTCCGTCAAGTGGTCAGTCCGTGTCCAGCCTGTGGGCACTTGGGGCTGTGTGTGGGGCTGCCATGATGCAGCACTTTCCCTGCCCAACAAACTAAGGGATCCCTTTGTGTGGAAACAGATTGTGTCAGGGAGAAGCCTTTGGTTAGTTTTCTATATGTATAGATTTATTTATTGGGCGGGAGAAGGAAAAGCACTTCATCGTGTGACCGGCCTCCTGTAGCGTACGGTGCAGTCAAGGAACAGGGTTGCAGTGTTGGTGAAAGCCCAGATTTAAGAGCCATGGCCTCCTATCTGAGAAATGAAAAATGCTGTTAATATGGCTCCTCATACATAAGTGGAGGGAAGGAGAGAGAGAGAGAGAGAGAGGTAAAAATCTGGCTGACAAATTGGGGGCACCTTATCAAATTCAATGGGTTCACATGTCTACTTGGAAGTAAGTTGTATTGTTCAGTGGGATTTACCCTCAGGCAGGTACTATAGGCCTAAATGTCAAAATGTTGGAGCTCTGGAAAATGTATCTTTTTATATGTGAACTTGAGTCCTTGGACAATAAATGAGGCCACATGTTTGTTTGTTTGCTTTTGCCTGAGAACAAGGTAGCAAATCCTTATGAAAATGTGGGGTTTCAGTTTGTTTGTTTGTTTGCACTTTAAAAAATATCTATAGATGAAGCTAGTGTGCAACGTCGTATAAAATAAAATTTTGCTTTTATTTTATGCCTTTAAAATCATATTTAGGCCTCCTTTAAAGGCAAATGCTTTCTAAGGTGTTAGACTGGTTTGAAGGCCATACAAAAGTATGTAAATAGAGAGGTACAAAGATTATGAGAAAACCAGCAGAAACACAATCTTTGGAGTTTTTTGAAGATCTGCAAAGAAGGGGCAAAGGCCTTCTCCCATGGATTCTCCAGCCTGAATGCCTTTGTGGTCAGCTTTTACTGCAGATGAGAGAAAAAATATTTTGTATATCATGTTTACAGAAGTGTGGCAGCTTGGCTGCAGGCACGACTGAAAGGAACTGCTGTTAGGTGCTGCATAACAGCTAGAGTATATGGATATGAATGGCCTGCTGCCTAAATGTGGGGGGGGGGTCTTGTTATTATAACTTTACATTTACATCCCACCTCTTTCCTCTTTTCAGGAATTTAAGGCAGCTCACACAGTTCCTCTGCTCTTCATTTTATCCTCACAGCAGCCCTGTGAGGTAGGTTAGGCCAAGAGGCATGACTGGTCCAAAATCATCCAGTGAGCTGCACAGCCGAGTGGGGATGAAAACACACCTCTGAATCCCAGCCCAACACTCTGATCACTTTGTTGGATGGGATGCAATTTCAGGTATCAATGTGCAGTCCACCTGAAGGTGCCCATCTTTGTATCTTCCCATTTAATTCATGAGGAACAGTGTTATTAGAAGAACTACGCTCATTCAGACCTGCCTTGGGCATTAAGACTTACCTTAGAGGCCCTGTTTGTAATTTGGCTCGTGAGATGTGTTTGCTTGGCGAAGAAACTGGTTGCCTTTTTGGTGGTGACTCTCGGATTGTACAATTCTCTTGTACAATTCCCTTGATGGTTTTTCTTTCCCCCTGTGTGTGTTTTTTATAAAAAGCAATTTATTCTGGTTTGCTTTCTTGCAAGCAGTTTTAAAATGAATGATCTGTTTAAATGGTAGTGCGTTGCCATTCGCTAAGAAAGCATTTTGTTTTGTTTGAAATGGACTATTAGTTTGAAACTATTTTATAGTTATATTTTGCATCTGGTTTTATTGCATTTAGCTTAATTGTATTTTTATGAGGGTGTGTGTGTGTCTGTAATTTGTTGTTGTGAGCTGCCTTGTTAGGGCTCAAAGGCAGCCTATAAA